TTTTGACCATATATGTGTTAATAATTCAAAGTCGGCATTGAACTCTTTTAGATTAAGATATTTAAATAACATAATATGGTCTAAATAAAATAGTTGTCAAGCCCGGTACCTCGTTACTACGCGTATCTAAAACTCTTAAGTTTAAGCAGCGAATGTCAAAATGGTTAGTATTGTTTCTACAAGAATCATAATTAACTACGTATTAATGTACAAAACTTGTACATATATATTGTTTTATAATCGTGCTTTGTTCAATGTTATATAGGTTAAAAATTTTACATTTTAGGAGCCGCCTACTGGAGGGACCAGTTCTCCGGGGCTTATTAATACTGCACCTTTATTGCCACCACCAATGTTGAGTGGTATACCTCCACCTATACCCCCAGCAGTTGCCATGCCACCAGTTCCTGGTATTACGACTAACATACCAGCCCTGCAACCACCAATGGCGTTTCCACCCATTATACCACCTTTTACTATGCCTCCTCCTGGATTTCCATCTTTTAAAGCAGTAAGTTATTGCTTTGTGTCTGATGGTGCTCTGAAATGAATATACTGTGTGCTTAGTTTCTTAACAATGCAACAATGGTTTTAATGTATGTAAAAAAAAAAACTATGTACACTTGTAGTAAATGTATGTATAGAAAACTAACAACAATACAGCAAAATGTAACAACTAAAATCTTCATGCCATAAATTCGTAAGTTTTGTTTAAAAATGTTTACATTTTTGTTAGTATCATATATATTGAGCAGTAATGATCACTCAATGTAAACAATAGACAATTTTTAATTTCTAATGCCTATATTAATTTAGGACCTTGGCGCCCCTGCACCAGATGTAACACCATTGGCAAATCAAAGCAGCCCATGGTCTGAGCACAAGGCTCCGGATGGGCGAACATATTACTATAACTCAGTTACAAAACAGAGCTTATGGGAGAAGCCTGACGATTTAAAGACACCAGCAGAGGTAGTTTTCATATTATCTGTACAATGCTAAATAAAAGCATCTAATTTAATAGTGAATTGGTTCTGATAATTGAAATAACCTAAAATAAATTATACATATTTATTACAGAAATTATTATCATCATGTGTATGGAAAGAATACACAACTGATGCAGGAAGGGTTTATTACCATAATATAGAGACGAAGGAATCTAGTTGGATTATTCCTACAGAACTGCAAGAGATCAAGGACAAAATAGCAGCAGAAGAAGCCGCACAGTAAAGTTATTTATTGTTAATTGTTCTTTGACCTTTGACATTTTTATCACAGCTCAATAGTAAAGCGAAGAGAAGTAGAATTTATGTTTACTATATATAAGACAGATGAGTCGTAAGAAGAAATTAGTAAATTTTTCTTTAAACTGCGATTTAAAAAAATTAAAGGTTATCATGCAAATAATTAATTAATATAGATAATTTTAATATATGAATGTAATTGATTTTATGGTTATAGATCATGAAAACCTATAATTGAATTATCAGGGAACCCTACAATTTTTTTTAATGGATATTCTGTGGCATTACAGAGCAGCACTAAATGCAGATATACCTCCTGGGGAAGTGCCTCTGCCGATGTCCCCGGCAACTGCGCAGCCGACTTTCGGCAGCTCCGCTCTAGACGAGGCCATGGCAAAAACCCTTGCTGCCATTGATCCCACTTTGGCTAATAGCATACCCATTCCAGAAGACAGTAAGTATTCAATCTGACTAACATTATAAATGCGAAAGTTTATAGGGATGGATGTTTGTTAGAGTTTGTAGCCTAAATGGCTAAATGGATCTTCGATGAAATTTGTCATAGACATAGAGGATAATCTGGAAGAACACATAGACTATTCGATTTTTTTTAATTCCACGCGGATGAGTCGCTGGCGTAAGCTAGTAATGCCATAAATGTGAAAGTTTGGATGGATGGATATTTATTACTATATATTTCAAAAATTATTTAACATATCTCAATGAAATTCGGCACATGATGAGATATAGGACATAGTTTAAAAGTACACTAACCTATGTTTTATATTTTATTTTAAATTGGGTGTAGTTTTTTTTCATTCAGTTATACCTGAAGAAATAGTGGCTCCACCACAAGTTAATGGGACTGAAAATACAGAGCCAGCACAAGAACTGCCATACAAAGATAAAAAAGAAGCAATAGAAGCATTTAAGGAACTATTACGAGATAGGGTAAGCTACATGGCAAATTGAATAACTTAAAAAGAATAATATATATAAAAGGAGGAGGAAAGTTTTGTGACATTATCAACATATAATTTAATCAGAGTTATTTTTTTCCAGAATGTACCATCAAATGCATCATGGGAGCAATGTGTAAAGATAATATCAAAGGATCCCCGTTATGTCAATTTCAAGAAATTAAATGAGAAAAAACAAGCTTTCAATGCATATAAGACACAAAAACTTAAAGACGAGAGAGAAGAGCAGAGGTAAATAAAATAAGACTTTGTCATATAATCTTATAAACCTTAAAGGCATTCAATGTCTGTGAATGAACATAATTAATTACATGTGTAAATGTGGTATTAAGAGCTTCCCATATTTTTCAATTAATTTTTCTTAACAATTATATCTTAAATGTTATTTTTCTTACTTCTTACTAATATTATAAATGTGAAAGTTTAGATGGATAGATGGATGTTTGTTAGAGTTTTTAGTCTAAACGGCTGAAGAGATAAATTTGGCATAGATATAGAGGATAGTCTGGAAGAACACATTGGCTACTTGCTTTTTTTTTAATTCCACCCTGACGGAGTCGCGGGCGAAGGCTAGTCTATTATAAATATCGGTGGTTTCAAAGTTTATTAGTCCCCCATAAGCTAAATATTTAACATGTTTATTTTCAGGTTAAAAACTAAAAAGAACAGGGAAAATCTGGAAGAGTTTTTGCTGTCTTGTGAGCGCGTGACGTCACTGACGAAGTATTACAAGTGCGAAGAAATGTTCGGCAACCTAGAGGTCAGGAAATAATGCTTTAAATTGGATCGTTTTTTCATTTTCCTTAATATAAATAAATCAAAATTATTCTGATAATTATTATAAATTCGTATCAGTTAAACATTACAAAGTCATTTTGAAAAAGTGTTTAAAAATGTATTGTGTTTTTTTATACTAGCTGTTTCTCACGACTTCGTCCGCTTGAAATTGATAAATAGTAAAAAATGTCTATGTCTCTTATTAATGGTGAAAATATTTATTGAATACGCTCAGTATATTTGTAGTTATTTCAATACTTCAAAAAAAATTTCCTTTATAAAATGACTATAGATTTAGTAGGTTGTAGTTAATATTTATTTTATGTGATTTGTGTGTTTAGTTTGATGTATATTTATGTTAATGTATATGTAGATATGGCGCTGCGTGCCGGACGCAGACCGGAGGGACATTTACGCAGACTGTATCTACACGATTGCTAAACGAGAAAAAGAAGAGGCAAAAGCACTCAAGAAAAGAAATATGAAGATGTTAGCACAAGTGAGTTTTACAGTTCTTTGTCATTATTGAATCAAGATGGATATAATTAAAGGTCTCAAAAATTATATGCTACATGTAGTAGGTAACATTTATGTAATATTGATATTAATTTTTTTCCAGGTATTAGAAAACATGCATGAAATAACATACTGCAGTACGTGGAGCGAGGCACAAGTATTGCTTTTAGAAAATTCTGCGTTTAAAAATGATGTCAGTTTACTGGGAATGGATAAAGAAGATGCTCTTATTGGTAAAATAAATTCGAAATAAAAAGTAAACTTAAAAAATGACCTTTCATTCATCTGTTGTGTTTTTTTATATTTTCAGTGTTTGAACAACATATTAGAAATTTAGAGGCTGAATATTTGCAAGAAAAAGAACAGGTTAAAAAACGAAATAAACGACAGCAGAGGAAGAATAGGGATAACTTTTTGGTAAGTTTTTTTGTTTAGATTTATATAGGTGTTTTAATAGTGATTACTTTATTCAATTACATGGGCAGGCGCTGCTCGACAATCTCCATGAAGAAGGAAAGCTGACCTCAATGTCTTTGTGGGTAGAGCTCTATCCAGTTATATCGGCTGATATTCGCTTCTCTGCAATGCTAGGTAAATCGTTTTCTCAATATTATGTTATTAAATTTGTATAGATATTATGAAATATAGATATATAAATAATATTGTTGGAATATAAATAGTTGATTTCATTAACAGGACAAAGTGGATCAACACCCTTAGATCTGTTTAAGTTTTACGTAGAGAACTTAAAGGCTCGTTTCCACGATGAGAAGAAAGTTATAAAAGAGATACTGAAGGAGAAGGCTTTTGAAGTGAAGCCTGATACCACGTTTGAAGAGTTCGCCACCATCGTGTGCGAGGACAGCAAGTCCGCCTCGCTCGACGCCGGCAATGTCAAGCTCACATACAACTCACTGCTCGAAAAGGTAACAAATATAATGTAAACGATGACGCTTGTGTCCAACTGCCTTTTTCCCGCGACATACGCCCGACGAAAAAGAACATCTTAAAAGTCACCTATGTATTTTTCCAGACTATGTTCTGCCTATGTCAAATTTTATTAAGATCAGCTTATATGTTCTGGAGATACTACTTTACGGACTTTATTTTCATACTCTGTAAAGAAGTCGGTGGTACCGACTGACTGCGTGTGTAATTTAATGTGTAACTAACCATATAATAAGATTCACGTAAACTAACATTTAAATTATTGAGATGTACATTTTAGGAAATATTACAGGCCGAAACGCGTAACAAAGAGAAAATAAAAGAAGAATCGAAAGCGCAGAAGAAAATCGAGAGCGCGTTCAAATGGGCGCTGAGCGACGCCAACGTGGACCACGTGCTGCCCTGGAGCGACGTCAAGGCCACGCTCGATCTCGCCGCGCCCGAGTTCGCCGCCGTGCCCGACGAGGAGGACCGCATCAGGATATATAAAGTAACTTTTTTATTTTATTTCAGTATAGCAACGACAGTATACCATCTTTACACCATAAATCTTATGTAATAACACAATATTATAAAAACATACCAACAATTAGATATATGGTACTAATAAAATTAAAAACTGATAATAACATAAATAATATAACAATATGTAGCTTAACGCGACCATTTCTCGTCTTCCACACATCGGTATGCGGCCTCTGTGAATTTAGACTTGCTACAAGTAAGATATCTATATCTTTATTTGTAGCGAGTCTACTATGAGAAATTTGTAACATATCTGATGATTTGTGTAAAGAAGTGAGATATGTTTGTTGCAGGACTTCCAGCATGAGCAGGAGGACAGCTGCATGCACTATCACCACCCCAAGGCGCGCAAGACCAAGCGCTCCAAGAAGAAGAAACGTTCGCGCTCCGGCTCACTGGTGAGAATATTTTTTTAAACCTCAATTTACGTGTTTTATTTCATTAAACTAAACAAGTGTTAATAAAAGTAATAAAGACTCATTAAAATCAGACATTAATTTAAACACAGTTTTATAGATAAATCCATAGACAACAGTTTTAATTTCTATTGAATTCCACTATACGACCATTATCATTTCTGTCGAAAATTATAAGTAATAATTAAAAACACTTTATTAATCAACCCAAAATTTATTTCCTTATTATATTCAAAGAAGACACTGTCTGAATGATATTTCAACATGTGTACTTTGTGTCAGTCGGGCTCGGTGTCTGGTCGGTCGCAGTCGCCGGCGGGCAGCGCGGCCTCCTGGACCTCCGATGAGCGCAAGCACAAGAAGCCCAAGAGGAAGCACCGCAAGCACTCCCCACCCGCGGTAACTTACCACTTATTTAACCATAACTTGTATTGAACCGCTTCACCAGAGGCTTTTAGAATTGATATAGAAATTTTTTTTAGATATAAATAAAACGTATTACAATTAGTTTTATCCAAAATGTATAATTGAACATGAGCAGTCATCACAAAAGTCACCGACTCCGGAGGAGGGTGGCATATCGGAGGAGGAGGTGTCGCGGCACAAGAGCAAGAAGGCGAAGCGCAGCGCGCCCAGCAGCGGCGACGAACACGAGCCCTCGCACAAGTCTAAGAAGAAGAAGGACAAAAAGGAGAAGAAAGAGAAGTAACTTACACACTCTCACCCGCTTACTCCAAACCTGCTCTATGAATGTCATAAACACATGCAGATTTAAAACTCAAAAGAGTTATCTCTCATCCAGTTCATTGATTGTGATTTGGGTCAGGATGTTAACCATATAAAAAAAATGATGTTGCAATGTTATTATGGTGCTGTTATCTGCGCATTCGTTCGTATGGAACGCAATTTTACCTTGTACCTTAGGGGCACAAAATCTGTAAAAAAAATTAAATAATAATTTCCGAAATTACAATATACATATACTTTGGAACAAACATACTAACAATTTGTAACTGTTTATTTTTGTTATCGACAATGCAGATGTGTTTGATTGTCGATAACAAAAATGTATTTTTGAATAAAAATTGTAGTGTTGTATATCAAATGTCAAAATGAAATTTTCATATAGACTAATTTTATTTATTTGTTTAGATATTTGAAAGATATAAGAATGATATTGACGTAGTGTCTGTGATGACAGAGTGGGCGGGTCCGGC